CTGCAAGAACACAAGTTCCTTTAACCGCTGAGCCATCTCTCCAACCCTAAAGTCTTATTTTAAGTCTTTGGAAGACAAAACTGCTTTTTAAAGAGAGCACTGTCACTTGCTTTCAATTCAGCTCAGAACTGAGCATTAAGATGGAACTGACTGAGCAGTTCTAACATGCCTATATTTGGCATCTCACATTTGAGTCGTGACATCCAGAGGATAGCCCATTCAACACATACTCCAGTAACCATAAATTTGTGCTGATTAATCAACAATCTAAAATCCACATTTTTCTACTTTTTTTTGCTCTTTAATAAAAGAAAATACTTTTTAAAAATTATTCTGGCTTTGTAACCAGGAAGTATGTGTGTTGAAGACTACTAGTCTCTAGAACCTTCTGTAAGTTTTACTGCAAATAGTATTTGGGCTGAGACATTTAGAATGCATACAGGTAGTGAGTAGCTCCCCCAGATCTGCACAACCTGAGTTTTATAACATTGACAGTTTTTGGTCTTTTTATCCATTGCATTTCCTCATGAACTATCATCTCAGGGAGGTCCAAGATCCTGTTAGCACATTGCCAAGTAGATCTGCACCATCTAAGAACATTATTCTAAGAATCTTGCTTACTGAATGTAGATAGGCACTTATGTCGTGTATTCATAAATGCTTGTCACTGTTTTCTTAAATGATCCCATCTTTCCTATGGTATTTAGAAGTGAAAGCTAATTTTAAAGAAAAATCTTTTTAATTGTTAAATAAAGAATTTTGAATCAGCATGTAAAATTAATCTCTCATTTGACTCTTAGAAAAGCAAGGTGAGCAAAAATGTGAAGAACTTGAGCTTGGTAATGCTCCCATGCTGAGTTTCAGACCACAGACCATACCTTCTCTAGAGGATGCATGAGAGTTACATGAAAATTTTCAGTAATGATAATGTTTTGTATTTGTAGAAAATAGTGGAATGAACACATGAACTCTTTAGCAAGTTTTCTTTTCAGGGCCTTTGAAAGCAGAATTTATCTTTTCATTTTAATTCTGTTCATTGTAATCAGCAAAGTCTGCTGAACTGCCAGATTATGTGGGAAGTGAAATTAGATGCTAGCTTTGATGGCATACTATGGCTTTATAGATAGGCTAATTGTAGTCTTCAGAGGAAGGCTTTTTAAAAATACATGGCATTTTTAAAGTGACTGTTCTGAGTGTGGTAAGCAGAATAATGGCCCCCAAAGGTACTAGCACCCTAACCTGGCCCCTGTGAGCATGCCAACCCTAAGGAAATTTTGCAGATGTGACTAAGCCACAGATCTTAATATTATTTTGGATTATCTCTGCAGCATTAAAGTAACAACAAGGATTCTAAGAGAGAGCATCAGGAGAGAGTCAGAAGAGAGGAAAAGAGTGAGAAGGGATCTTGAGCCAGGAAATGTGGGCAGCCTCTGAAGGCTCTGGAAGGTACAAGGAGCCAAGAGTCTCAGGCACATGCAGCCTTGAGCGCGCAGTTTAGACATCTGACTTCCAGAACTGTATGATGATATCCAGTATGTGCTTCCCTAAGTCATTAAGTCTGTGGTCATTTGTTACAGTGGCAACAGGAGACTAGCACACTGAGAATTCAGCCACTTATTGACTCACTGACATCTACTGTGTGCCAAGCACCGTGCCCACCTTACTCAGACCTTAGTTTTTCAAGAGAAAGAGTGCTGTGTGCTTCATTTGGAAAAGAACCCTCTAAAAGTAGATAATAGTGCTAAGGCAGAAACATGCAGGTGGGCCTCCTTTCTGCAGGGGATTGGTCCAAGTAGGCCTCTCACAGTCAGTGACATTTGAGTTGGAACTGGGGTGACAGAAAGGAGGCAGTCATGCTGAACTCTGGGGGCGAAGGGTTCCAGGCAGGGAACACAGCAAGTGCCAACTTGTAGAGTGGCCACTCCTGTGCTGAGTTGCCAGAGTGTCTTAGGGTACAGGATCTCCCACCCCTGTGGGGCTCCACCATTAGATTTGGAGCACGCGAAAGACTTAGGCCCCCTGGCTTTCCTTGAGTGCTCAGAAGGTTCTCTTCATACATGTTTCTTCACCAGAACGGTTTATAGTACTCATGGAGGCATCATTGGATAAGATAGGGCATTTGGCTCCTTTTGGACATACCTGCCTTGCCCAATCATGACCAGCCTTCTGCTTCTTCCTTAAGAACTTAGCCCAAGAACTTAGTGAGGGAACCTAGAACTTCATGTTCCTTTCCTTAAATTATAAACTGCTTTGTGCTCTGGAGCTGAGCAGCCTATATGTGGTACATCATGGAGCTGTTAGTGGCAGCAGAATCAGGTCAGAAGTTCTGGGTTAAGAAAAGATATCCTGGTAGTTTGTGGTGCCCAGATCTTGGCACACAGAGAAGAGACTGTTGTTGGCTTATTATGAATAAGCCATGAAGCCCAAAACACGCAGGTCCATCTCTGCTGACACAGCCCTTGCAGACCAGTAGTTATAGATTTTAGAGTTTATTTCAATCATCTGTAAATAGCAGTCTCCAAAGAGGACACTAGCAGAATGTGCTGAAAGTACTCCCAAACTCAACCTGTACCTGAACACAAGGAAGACTGTGGTCCTAAAGAACGGTGGAAGTGCTAAGCCCCTTCATTGTCTCCATTTTTTTTTAATTTTATTATTTTTATTTTGTGTATGCATGTATTGCCTGCATGTAGGTAAGTGCACCCGTGTCGTGCATCGCCCGCGGAGGTCAGAAGAGGCTGTCGGATCCCCCTGGGACTGGAGTTACAGACAGTTGTTAGCTGCCATATGGGTGTTGGGATTTGAACCCAGGTCTTCTGTAAGAACAACCAGTGTTCTTAACCGCTGAGCCATCTCTCCAGCCCCTCCATTCTTTTTTTTTTTTTTTAATGTACCTACCCTGTTTGGCATTTAACATCTATTGAACTGCATGTGTATAAAAACCAAGTGCGTTGTTTTCTGCCTCGTGAAGTGTTTTTCTTTAATAGCCTTGACTCCTAATCAGGTACTCTGAATCTGATGCTCTCCACAATTAGATGCATCAGAGACCTTCTGAGTCTACTTTTGAGCCTGCTGGATAGTTCAGGCCCCTGGGAAACTGAAAAGGTGTATAGAGGTTCATGCAAAGACTGCTTGACATTCTAATTATACATGAAGTAAGGTCTTTTGGTTTTTGTTTTTTTTAATGAGTAGAATAAGGTAGTTACACTTAGTAATACCCATTCACCCAAAGGAGGGGGAGGTGTTAAATCATTGTGGTTTTTGATGAATGGCTTGTACACCGAAAAATAAATTGGACAAACTGGCATAGAGCTCAGTGAACATGAAATCAGCTATTAGAAGAAAGCTTGTGAACAAATTCTGAGGTAGATATGCATCTTTTGATTAATGCCCTATCAATCATCCACACAGCTACCTTAGGTAAGTCTTGCTGTAATCATTCATGGTTGCTTGCAAAAACACTGGCAGAAAACTATAGCATAGAGCTGCCGATTCCTTCTAACTTACTGTGAACAATCACGTTTTCACCATGTTTCTGCTTTTCTTTATTAAGAAAATACAATGCAGAATGAAAAGAGAGTTCTTCAAAGGCCTGTGGAACTCTCAAAGGGTGTTCTTAATGGTATTCAGTCTTAAATGGGCAAGCTATTGTAATGGGAGGCGCTCTGTAGGAATAATAGTAATGTATCCCATTGAAACCACCTTTTTATGGGTTTTACTCAAACAGACAAAAATGTAGAGTCATATTAATGAACAGACTATATCTCTGGAATTATTACTTAAAGTTGTAGAAATGGTTTGAATTTTGTTACTGTAATTATTTTATTCTTAGTTATTGTGCTTAGCAGCAATAGTAATTAACCCACCAGATTAGAAATTTACATGAACTCTACCTTTAACATTTATGTGAAACACTAATTCTTTGACTGTTGCACAACAGGATGCGTGTGTGTGCGCACGTGCAGGCACACATGTGTGGTGTTCACATGAGTGTGTGCATGTGGTATTTACGTGAGTGTGTGCATGAGTATAAATTTATTTTCAGGGCTTATTTTTTAGAAAAGAATTTTCCATGTATGCAATTGTTAGTTTTCTATGCATTTTAAGCCATTCATTGGCAAAGTCCTCAAGTGTATCTTTCTTTTTAGAGGGTTTGATTTCTGAACTGTGCTGGCACAAAGATGGATCTGGCCCCTGTCCATTAGTCAGAACATCTTGAGGTAACAGTAGCACTTCCTGGGAACTGACAGTGGCCTAGGAAATACTGCAGCATAATAAAGTGGTGACAGGCATTAGCATGCATAATGGGCTATAATAGACACTTAATGCCATTCGGCTGGAGTAGGGAGCTGTGCTGTCCCATTGGAATATTCCCCATCAAAGCCCATTGATCACCGATTTCAGTGGGGAGAGGTTAATCCATCAGCTTCTGTAACCAGACGGTGCTGATGGAAATTCTTTAGGTGGCATTCTGGATGAACCAAGCTTTCCATCTTTACAAACAAATGAGTGATATGACAAGCATGGTGTTCAAAACACATTTAACCAATTGATTTTCTTTCCTCTTGTAATAAGATCTGGAGACATATGAAAGCGATCGGTGTGAGCTAAGATTAAAGGAATTGCTGCATGCACGGGAACATACGGAGCCCAGAGCCCGTAAAAGTACTATAAAGCATGTAGTCACCCATTCCCTTTTTTATATAAAGTTTGTTATTGCAATAAATAGTTATTATTGAGCTGATGCCTTTTATTTTCGTTTTCCAGAATCTTAGATTGGGGCTGTGGCGTGGGTACACGGGCATGTGTGCCTGTTCCTAGTATTCTGCTGTCTTGGAAGTGTTCGGAGATATTTGGCATTAATTGTTTCTAGCTTCTCATTTAAACAGCCAGAACTGCTGTGATTTAGGTGGCATTATTTCAGGCTGCAGGTATTCTAAGTTTGTGATAGTTTCTGATGTCAAGATCAGTGATGCTTGTCTCTCTTATCTTCCCCGCAGCCCTGCTTTGAGCTTCACCTACCCCTCTGCACCCGTCTCTCTCCATATGCATCAACAGATCCTAAGCCGACAGCAAAGCTTAGGTTCAGCTTTTGGACACAGTCCTCCGCTCCTCCACCCTGCCCCAACCTTTCCAACACAGAGGCCTATTCCAGGGATCCCTACGGTTCTGAACCCCGTCCAGGTCAGCTCTGGCCCTTCAGAGTCCTCACAGGTGAGAGAGGCATCTCTGTGGTTCGTCTTCATCAATGAAGGAGAGGTCTTGCATCCTGTCTGCCATTATATGGGCCATATAGCTCATTCATTGTTGTCAAGCCTTCAGATGAGCGTCCTGTCTTTCTCCAGGGTTCTATTCCATTTCGATGACTGTAAACCAGAGTGTCTTCCCCAGAGCCATTTGCTCATGATCTAAAAGTAGGCTGCTTGATGAGACCCCACTCCGGTCATCTATAAACCATGTCTGCTGTACATAATCCATGTGAATTCATTGCCCTCATTCTGCCACTGTTGCTCCCTCCAGTATAACCAGGCTACTACCCAGCACCATGTGATACTGTATAGTAAACATAAAATTCCAATCCTTCCATTCTTTTGCCACACTGATGTGATTTAAAGGAGATGCTATAATTAAAAATCTTCACAAACTCTTTGTGATGGTCTCCCACCCAAACTCACAGTTTCATATATTTTGAAATAACTCTTGTAGTTTGTTAAAGCTGCATTCTTCAAGCATTTAAAACCACAAGCCTGCCCCTGACCTGGAAGTGAAGAGCTGCTTCCTGAGGCATCATCTGCTCTCCCTGGGTGACTCTGGCACTCTCAGAACCATTGCTTTATTGCCAAAGAAGCTGATTTGTCTTCAGTAGTAGTTTTCAATTCTGCCTCTATTTATTGATCAAAATCAATTTTTTCCCTTGACCCTACAAATATCACCAACAGAACAAGCCCACAAGTGAGTCTGCAGTGAGCAGCACTGGTGATCCAATGCATAATAAGCGATCCAAGATCAAGCCCGATGAAGACCTCCCCAGTCCAGGAGCACGAGGACAGCAGGTAGGACACCCAGGGTGCAAACCAGCTTCTGCCATTCCCTGACTCTTGACTTTGGGTCAGCTCCCCCTCCTTTACAGGTTGGTGTCCTTTCACAGCATTTTCTTATCTACTATATTCTTACCCTTGGCCTTGAAATACCTATTTGATAATAAACTGGTTAGGGAATAACTATTTGTTTCTCTAGCTCAGAAGTAAACAGCACTGAAGGAAGCTGTGTGTAGTACACTTTTTTCGTAACTGACTTAGCTTAGAAGTTCAGGTGACTTAAGTTCATAGAGTCAGTGGCTGGGCTCATTGGTGCTGATCATAGATATGACCAGGCTTGGCCTTGACTTTTGGCCTAAATTACTGAGCTTCTGACCCCAGGCTTAAGCTGAGGCAGAGTTTGTGAAATTCCCATCATTCTCATATAATTCTGGCTCCACTGAAGAGCATGCAGGTTATATCCAAATCACCATCTCATTTCTTGAGCCAGACATGGCAAGGAGTTCAGCCAGTATTTTTCCCCCAATTCAGGGTTGAATGAGAATAGAAATCTCCATAGAATCCAGACATTGCTATCATCAGTCTGCTTTGGCCCAAACATTACATTGAGGCCTGGTCTTCCTCAGTGAGAACTTTAGGGATGGAATGAAGTGGTAATATGGAATTCTGAAATCATCATTTACAGTTGTTAGACAACAAACAACCTTGCTTTGATGGTCACAACCTCAGTGCCTATACATCTTCCTGCCCTTGATCAGGCAGGACTCAAATCTACACACCTACTTCTTCCTAGAATTCTGGGGATTCCTTGAACTGCAGATGTTATGAAGCTGTCATCGAAGACTAGAAAAGTTTGTGTCTCGAGCATTAGATTCCCTATTTCCTTGGCCTTGACCACAAGTACCTCCCTGAAGAACAAGGCCATGATCCCTAAAAGTGCCTCTTGTAAGGGAAAACAGAGCTACAAGTACTCATAAACCATCTCCCTACTAATAAAACATAACAGTAAACAAATGAATATAGTGAAGAAAATGAAAACAACTAAACAAAATAGAAGAACCAGTTCTGGGCAAATAATAGCAGCTCCTACGGGTTTTCTTGTCTGCTTGTTTTTTTGTCTTAGGGTTTTTAAAAGATGTCAGTTTGGTTTATATTGTAGGCAGCAAGCTTTGGCTTCAGCTTTTTATCTTTGTTATGATTTGTGCTTCTGGCTTACGTTACAAGTTAAAACGATCTCAGAACGTGTGTTCAGGGGATCTGAAAACTGCACATAAATGATTTCAATCCTACACTTCTTTATTTCACAAGACCCAGCTGATAGACCTAGGCTCTCATGTCTTTTCAATGAAAACTCAGATTCAGAAGATAACTCTAAACCAAGTTTCTGCTTCCTGTCTTCTTTCCCACCTTGTCTGATTTTCCCTCTCTGCCTCTTCCCCTCACCCCCACAGGAACAGCCTGAAGGAACAACCCTGGTCAAGGAGGAAGGGGACAAAGATGAAAGCAAGCAGGAGCCTGAAGTCATCTATGAGACAAACTGCCACTGGGAAGGCTGCACAAGGGAGTTCGACACCCAGGATCAGCTCGTGCATGTAAGTGACTGGTGTTCAGGGCCCCAGCCTTCCAACTATGTGACCTTTGCATGAGGTCAGCTTCTTTGACCCTGCACCGAGTCAAGTTTCTTAGCTGGCAGCACTGAAAACTGGAGAGGGTTTTATGACTTTCTGAGAATAAAGAAAACTCTGAGCCATAGTGCTTGACCTGTTCAGTCAGCTAAAGCTTAGTGTAAAATTCAATAAAGTCTTCAATAGAGAGTGTAATGACTCTGATCCTGTAAGCCAGAAAACACTATTTTGAGTTAGCGACTTTGATGGTTATTGAGTAATAGTAAGTTGCACATGAATTATTATTAACCTTTTAACCAAGTTTGATTCCCTTTCCAAGACCCAGTAACAATTGAAAAAATGGGGAAATGGGGTGGGTCCTTTTTTTTCCCTTGCAGAAAGCCTCAGGATCCACCCATTGTTCTCTGCAGCAATTAATGCTTTATTTTTGACTTGAGGGCAACCTTGTAGGATTAATTCTTTCATGGGGAAAAATGTGCTTAATAATGTGCATTTTTGAAAACTCTGCAGTAGTCAAATTGAGGCTTACCTTCTCTCACAAAGCAAGTCCACCAGGCATATTCTGTTCATTCTCCTGTGTCACTTCAGACAACATCGTATCCACAGCCACTATGGCTCTTTCCCAGAGCTTCATGGTGCTTGGCACAGTCTCAAAGCCCACTAGAGCCTCCTTGGCAAAGGGGACCAAGAACAAATGACGTGGAAGGGCATCTAGGGTCCTTTATAGCATCTGGAGCATCCTCAGACAACTGTATGGAAGTGCAGGGTCCTCTAAGGCACTGAGAGTGATTTCATCAAACAGGGAAGTTTCTTAAGCTTCAAATATGGTAAGTCTGACATAGAAGCCTTCTTGTGGTTGTTTCTCTCTCTTGTGTATGTGTGCATTCAAGGTACACTAATACTTATCTATTCTTTTATAGTAACTTTTTAGATGATCTATATTTATTGTAACCATCTACTTAGATTAAACACTGACATAAAATCCCTGTCCTTAATATAAGGCTGTGTGAGCTTTTTGTATTATATACTCACACAGTGCAGTTGCGTGGTAGTGTTAAATTCAGCATTCCAGATTATGAGAAACCTTATACACAGAATGTTAGACAATTTAACATAACAGCAGCAGGATCACCTCCCCCCGTTTCTTTTTTAATCATGTCTCTTTGCAATTATATAAGAAGAATTACAGATTTCTGAGTATAGCAAAAAGCAGTCAAATGTTTTTAATTAAGGTATATTTTCAGATTTTTCCATAAATGTAATTTGATGGTTTTTTTTCTTCTTTAATTTGATTCAAGTATTATTTTTAAACCAAGTCTGACTTAATGACCCTTTATTCTTGCTGACTGCTTTAATGGAAACCACAAAGGCTTTGTAATACTAAGAGAGGAGAAAAGTTGGGAATTTTTTTAACATGAAGAAATACTCTCACAGAGTAACATGTGCCAGGAGTGTGCTTGATGACAGGGTGAAGGAGCAATGCAAGGAGGATTGTTTGTGTCAAAGCTGAATCTTAGAAAACATGCTACAGGGTTCACAGTGCTGCTGCTTTAAAAAGTCTGCTGAGGAGGCTGAGGGTATAGCTCAGTAGTAGAACAAGGTCCTGAAATCAGTCTCCAGCATACATACAACAGAGGTGAAGAAGACTCAGTGATGCTTTTTCGGAAGATAAGTCACTGTAGTTTGTAGGAATCCTATATTAAGGTAATCATTATTCAATGAGAAATGAAATGGGAGACCAGTGTATATTTGAAATGGATTGGGATCCTCTGAGATGTTGCGTTTGAGGTCATGGTTTTGGGGTAGGGATTGTGTTAGTAACTTAACCTTTTCACTGCCTACATGATGTCACTACTTTTTAAAGGCAGTAGGTATTGTAGGTATTTTCATTTAATTTCAGTGCCAAAGGTTCCTATGATGTTTTCATAGATTGCAGTCATTTTAAGGAAAAGCTGCTTAAACAACCACTTTAATGAGCATCATGTTTAGAGTTTTATGGGAACTGTCTTCAAAAATTATGAATGCACACACATACACACACACACACAGAGTGGAATTTTCTAAATTCTAAATCACAAGAAATTCTTGTCAGAAAACAGTCCAGTGTTACCTTTATGATACTAATTTTAATCTAAACTAAATTATACGAATAGACAAGTGAATTAAGTTATAATTTACAACAACATAAAAGTGATACACATTACTTATATTCCACCTAAATTGTGGAAAGTTCAGAACTCTGCATTCAAATGGACTTTGCATTGCGTCACACGAATATTCTCCTCCTCTGGAATGTTGCTAGAAGCATGTGTGGTGGCCTGCTGCAGAGTGGGGGCTTTATATTTTGTTGATGGAAGGAATAGCTACTTCAGGTCCCACCTAATTACTTTGGTGGCAGATGGAATAACTGCCAGTTGCAAAACCCATTTTTAGGAATAGAAGGGAGCTTTAACCATTACAGTTCCTGTCACTTTCCTTGGAGAGAAAACATTTTGTGAATTGGTTGGATTTTCACGCCACATACAACCAAGCGGCAAGGTGTTAAACCATTCTGATACTCTGCCTTATTTATAGCCATGACCCATTCTTTCCCTCCCTCTTACAGTTAATAGAAAGATTCATGATTCTTCATGGTTGTCTATCTAGTGTCTGACAGTCCCGACTGCCTGCTAAAGCAAGTCACTATCTATAATTGATATCCTTCCGTGGAATAGGGTGCTGGCTGCAATTGGAGGGCTTTGCTGAAAGCTCTTAAATCCTGACAAGTTCTCCCCTTGTTCTGGTTCAGTCACTGAGCTGCACGGTTGGAATTCCAGAGTTATTTGAACTTGGTGCAAAAGAGAGACATGTGTTTCACATTAGCAAATCTCAAAGTTGAAGAAGAGAATTGGGAACTGGTTGGCTTTGCCTGCAGGTAGTCTCACTTCAGTGTAATGCGCTCTGCATTCTCCCGAAAAGATGACCTCGTCCATACTGTCTGAATAGATGGGCTAAATGCTGCCTTTTCCTTCTCTTCCCCTTTATTTCAAACCCCGTCCCTTTTCCAGTGAATGTTTATTCTAGGTTTGCTGCTGCAGAAGTCTTTCATCACAGGGATTTGTAATTACTTTCCCTTCTCAGCAAGATCATTATAATTGGGCTAGTTGCTCTCAAGCTAGTATTAGATTTGCTATAAGTTTACTTTTATTACCAGAAGCTAAGAAGATAGATGTGTGTTTTGGTTAACCAGATATTTGTCTTGTTCTTGGTGTCAGTTAAAATAGGAAAGACAGGAGTAAAAAAAAAAAAAAAAAAAAAAAAAAAAGCTAACCACAAGTACATTTGCTTCTGATTGCATCTCTTACTGATTTGTCAAGATCCAAATGCTTATTTTTTTCTTTGACCTCTGAAAGACACAGTCTAAAGTCTCTGATAAGCTGGAAGTCTACATTTCACTTCAATTTTAAATTAGCTAGCCCCCCCCCCCACTGTTATGCATTATATTTCCAAAGACCTGAATCATAAATTTGAATGTGTGGCTTAAAGTCACACAGTATCAGTTCTCAAAGTGTGCTTACTTTTTCCTTTGCTGTCCCTTACATTTCTTGGTGAGCTTGTGTTAGGTAAAGAAGCTCAGCCTCGCTTCCAGACCTTGGGCTGTATTTCCTTCTTCTTTGAATTTTTTCCTGGAAGTAAACTCTGGTGTTGAGGCTGTGGTGGAGGCATGTAAAATCTGTATAGCGCAAAGTACAGGTTGATCTTGGAGTTTTCTGAAGCCTGCATGCTTTGGTGGCTAATGACACTGTCTCCACCAGTGCGTGCCCAGGCTTTTTAAAAAGAGGAAATGCAGTAGCCGTGAAAAATGTGCATCTCAGAGTGTGCTCACCACTGCTGGAGGATGGCCACAGATGTTTGAAATCGTCATTGCCGAGATCTGAAAGAAGAAAGATAGTGGATCACTGTACCTTTTGTTCATCCATTTGTGTATCACTGTAACCCATCGCCCTCAATTTGAGGACCTCAGTCTCTCATCTTATTTAATAAATAATACATAGATGATCTTTCCCAACAGTCTTCAGAAAGTAAACTTATTTTTTAACAGTTTTATTCTTCAACCTGATCCCTAGTAGCATGACCCAGGAAGAAGGTTCCTGGCAAGTTCCACTGGGGGATGGTCTCTTCCTACTTGTCAGGCTGGATTTCAGAGTACAGGAGATATATTTATAATGCACCCAACTTCAGCTGGGTAGCATTTTATCCTCCGTTTGGATAAGCGTAAATAACCACCTACTTGAATTTTGAACCAGTTTCATGTGGTACAAATTTTGATCTCTAAAAACATGCTGAAGTTCCATTTATATATAGTTATAATCACTTTTGCTGCCATTCAGAAACAAATATACATTGGCAGCATGAAAATAAAGTATTGGAGATTGAGATGTAGAGAAAGCCACCTGATTTGAGAAGAATTGTATCCCTGGAAGCACAGAGGAGAGTGCCATGTGAAGACATAGTTTTTATAGCAGTGTCATGATCCTGAATTTGCATTTTGTGTTTCCCATCTCATTTTGATCACTCTGCTAAAGATGTGTTATATACCTCTTTGAGAAAAAATTGAGTGTCAGATCTGATAGTGGTCTTAGATATGAGGCAGGAATTAGTTTTGTGTGCACACACAAAAAAATCTAAAATGAATGAGTGGATGTTTTGATCTCATTTCCCTCTGCATGGAGCTGCTAGTTAATTTTCTTATTCTGATTATTTAGAAATGTGGCATATAAAATATGGACTAAGAACTACAGACATCAAAGTAACTCCGGAGATTTTGCCATAAGGGTCACATTCTTTGTAAAACTGCTGACTAAACTGTACCTGCAGAAGTGGTTCGTGAAAATATATCCAGGAGATGGGCCTGAAGGCCAATGCATGGGGTCTGTGGCCCACTGCTGAAGCACCCTCAGGCCCAGCTGGACTCTGAACACCATCCT